AATTGATAGTAGTAATTGATCATAGGCTCTTTCAAAACTGCTCTGCTGGAAAAGGACTTGTACACATGCATATTAGCATAACCAATGGACACAGACACTGGGGTAGTGGGGGCTCACCCGAGGTGGGAATGGCGGGGGCGGGGGGTGCGAAGGTGTCTGTTGAGGAAAAAGGAGACATATATAAAACTTCAGACAATAAAAAATATTAAAAAAAACAACTGCTTTGCTGGAATCAATCTCAATCAGATTGCTCTAATTAATTTAAATCTGTGTTGCTGGAATCTTACAAGAAATCTTTAAATTGAGTTTTAATCGACCCCTCGGGGCAAAGAAGCCAATACACAGTTCCCATCAGAGTTTGCCTGCAATACCTATAGGTTTGGTTGAATTCCTAAAGTTCTCCCCCTCCGTCCTCCCCTAAATGTCTACAGGTTCTTTCTTTGCCTTACAGAAGCAAGCTTTGTTTCTTACCTGGAAAGACTACCATGAACCATATGAATAAGCAAGGTACCAAGCACTGTTTCTACGCGACTTTTACTAGCTTCCAAAGGGAATCTTAATTTCTTAGAGCTTTCTGATGACATCCAGGGTCTGGGCATGTCTCTGTCAGTCATGACATTCCAATTAAAGTCTTAGTTAATAAAACCAATTTCCAATTGTGTCCTATTATAAAGAGATCAGATTCTTGTTGGATTCATACAAACAAACATATTTCCATGGAAATACTAGTGCTCACTAACAGTTTCCAAATTCTGGAGGGGTCAAGTAGGGATAAAAATATAAATGCTATAATATTGATTACAAAGGTATACTTTATTAAATTGCTTTAGAAAAAAAGTTTTCTTATATTTGGAAAGCAAAAGGAAAATCCTCGTCTTTTAACAAAGTTATAAATAACTAGAATCTAATTCTGTATTAGCTTACTTTTGATAAATTAATTTAATTAAATTGATTATTCAGCCTAATTGTATAACTTCTGTTATAGATATCTCTTACAGATACCAGAGAGGTATTGTCAGACAGCTTCCTAAGTCTTAAGGAGATGGCTGTCCTTTCCTTCTTTCTTACCTTCTCGTATGAATGAATTCAAATAAGTGACCCCAGATGATTGTGTTGTGATAAAGCCAGTTTACTAAAAAATCAAAGCAAACAAATTTATTAAAGAAGCAAAATAAGCAAATGTAATAAACTATATCTGAGCTGGGGCTCAGATGGGCTTTCCCAACTAGATTGGAAAAATGAATCTGATGGGGAGTCAGGGGGTTATAAATCCTTCTATCTAAAGGTTTCAAAATTTCTTGCCAAATATTTTGGTACATATTAATGTTCAAGATCCCCTTTTTATTTTGTTATTGCCTTCCCAGAATTCATGAGAAGCACCTGGCAATTTTATCCTGTCAAGCCCCAAGACTGCTGGCTTCTTTGTTTAGGGAGAGAAATAAAACTGTCTGTAAGGACAGAAAAGGGCCTCTCCTTTTTTTTGCTATGGTCTTCCATAGTTTATGCGATGCACCTGGTAATTAAACAAATTAAACACAGAGATTGTTGGCTCCCTTGATTCAAGCTGCCCTTCTAACAACAATGAAATAAGACTATACTCCCAAGGTTGCATTCTTCTATCCCCCTCCTCCCTGCTGTTTTAACAGGAATAATTTGAACCAAGAAGTCTCTAGTTAGTAGAAAGTTTTCTCCTTTTCAGACAAGCCTCTTTTGAGCTCCTCATAACTTTTGTTCTAATCTTGTTTTATAGGCTGGGAAAAATAATAAGATATCTACCAGGACATTTGTTGGACAGT